TTTGTTGAAGGTCCAAAGTAAGAGTATTTTTGTTATTTTTAAAAAAGTGAAAAAATAGGTAATAGTGTAATAACAAATATTTAAGGGGTATATTTTAAAGGGTGTAGTTTGCATAAGGTTGCAATCTTAAACAATCAAATCAAGCTACACCTCCAAATTTTGTCATTAATGTAATCTTGGCTAATTTTGTCATAAATGTAATCTTGGCATAAACAATTCTTATGATGGCTTTAGAATTTATTATCATATTTAATTATAAAATATTAAACTCCAAAATATTGTTTAAATAAAAAGGATCAATAAACACATACAAATCTTGAAAACCATCTATCTAGATAATGTGTTCTAAGATACACTATTATAAGGACTTAGAATCTTTTTTTCTTTTCATTTTAATACATCTCGATGTCAAAACAACTACTTATGATGGATTTTTGAGGTACACCTTAATCTTACAATTTAAAGTTGCAACTTTATATAATTTTTTAGGAAATGACCTTGTGAGACCTTCCCACGCTCATGTGTGTAGGACCCCAAAGGATCACCATTAAATTTGATACAGATCTCTAGAAAAGTTAAGTCCCACACCCATATGATAACTTTTTTAGAGATTTGTACCAAATTTAATGGTGATCCTTTGGAGTCCTACACACATAAGTGTGGGAGGGTCTCATAGGATCATTACTCATAATTTTTTTCTATTTTAAATAATAAAAATTTAAGAAGATAACCGCACGAATTGAGTGAAATCTATTGTACTTAAAGCTCTAAGTGCGACATAATAAATGGAAGATAACTCAAGGGTTTTTATTGACTCAATAATCGACAGGCCTTAAAGGTAGTAATATCATTGCATGTTTCTATTCCTTGGTTGGGTAAGTTTTGTCGATGTTGACTTACTTTAAAACTTTGACTACTCTTATTGCTCCGCACATTATGCCGCTATCCCACACCGACACTCACTCTTCTTCTGCCTTAACGTGAGGAAAAAGTTTCAGTGAGATGCATTTCAATTTAAAAAAATTGATTTAAAGTAGTAGTGCGGTTGGATAATATATGTACTTCCAAAATTAAATAGACCTGAAATTTTTTTGATCGAGAATCCATCTTCATGAAGATGGACTCATGATAACAGCTGCGTCCCAACACACCTACCTACCGAAAAGTAACGGACCTTGAACTTATATATTGGGAACAAAAGCATGGTGTAGAGGGCTTCATACCCCACACCTAGAGCATGCACACATGCCTCCCGCATACACAAACAAATATGATGGTGAAGTACCCCTCCACAATGAGTGTATTGTCACATTGCACTTCACATTACAATCGTTTTTGCCAATGGTTTAAAAAGCGGATCGGTGACCCGGATCGGGCACCTCAAAAATCGATTCGGATCGGCGAATCGACGATCCGGATTGGGAATCGGCTGGATCGATGGGATTAAAGCTTAAAAAAAATCCGAAAAAATTATTAAAATTCATTATAAATATTGTTTTTTAGGACTCCAATAAAAAATGAGGGTACTACATTATTAACTTTCATTTTTTTTATCAATTTGTGAATATTGAGATGTTCTTTCCCTATATAAACTTATTTAACTATTAAATTTGCATTACATAAAAGAAAAATCATAGAATTATCATGGATAAAATATATAATTATATATGGAATATTATAAAGAGTAGACTAATCAATGAAAGAATGGCCATTAAAATCTCTTTTTGGCGAAAAACCCTAACCTGCTAAAAAAACCCAAACTATTACAGCCTAACTAACTATAATCCAAAATTATTACAACCTCACTAATTATAATATTATATACTGAAATGATAATTATTAGTTTATATTTTATAATTATTTTATTAGACAAATAATAACAAATTAAAAATATTTTATAATATTATCTAATTTAAAATGTATTATTGACAACTGTAAGAAAAATAGTACATTACATGATTTATAATGTAAAAATTCATAAATAAAATAAAATATTTGGTTATCCATGTAAAAATTAATAAAATGCGTACAAATTTTGGAAATAACACTTCAATTTTTCAAAAATTTATTTTTTTAGGTTTCTATAATAAATTTAGTAAAAGAGATTGTTAGTAGAAAGATGGAGATTTCAAATAGAATAAACTTTTTATTTTTATTTTTTTTATACCTTTCATATTATTTACAAAAATAATTATACCACTATATACAACAAAAATTAACTGTTATATAAAAAATTAATTTTTTTATTTTTCATTTTTTTATGTCTTTTATATTATTTACAAAAATATTTATATTTATACCAACGACTATATACACAACAAAAATATTTATATTTATACCAACCACTATATATACAACAAAAATGCAACACATGCCCAAGGGGATTCGAAAGCAACAAAAATATTTATACCAACCACTATATACACAAAAAAAAGGCAACAAGAGGGTGCCAAAGGGGATTCGACCTTGGACCTCAAGTAAAAAAATCAAAGTCATAACCATCAAGCAATCTAACTACATGTGATTATAAATTACTGATTAATAGACTATATTTACATTTCGTTTTCATTTAATGATGTTTGGGAATTATCTCACATCGAAAGATGGGTATTCAACTTTGGTATATAAATACCTATGTAATATGAACAATAAAATGTGTATAAAAATATTAGGGCAACCTCACACGTGTGCAGGCTCGTACGTGCTCTTGGACACACGAGTGCACGTGTGGGTGCGTGGGGCACGCTCGCACGTGCGCTTGGACACACGTGTGCACGTGTGGGTGCATGGGGCACGGTCGCACGTGCGCTTGGACACACGTGTGCACGTGTGGGTGCGTGGGGCACGCTCACATGTGCGCTTGGACACACGTGTGAGTGTGAGTGTGCATGGGACACGCTCGCACGTACGCTTGAACACACGTGTGCAAGTGTGAGAGTACGTGGGGCACGCTCGCACGTACGTGTCATGCGCTTACGTGTGTGAACCAGGTTGAACCGGATGGGAACCGGCGGTTCCACTCTTTCCCGATTTTTGTTTGGAACTGGTACGGGCATGCGTGTTTTTGAGTCAAACCGGGCGAGTCCGGTTCGACTCGCTGTTTTTAAAACATTGGTTTGATGTGTTCTTTCTTTGTGTGCAATAAAAAAGATGATCCAAAAATGAGATTTGTATAATTTAGATACCATTTAAAGCCATCCAAACAAGTCCTGATTAATCCGTTTTTGACATAAATAAGGTTTGACACATTACAAACTAGAGTTTTTTAACACGTGGAGCTAAAGGAGCCCTTGGACCAAACACATACCGTGGATATCTCATATGTGAACATTTCACCGTGTAATAAATAAGTGGGGTCAAATGGTGGGCACTCTACAATTTTGGTTTTATATTCATTTCTTTTCTTCGTTTTTGTGATGAAATGCAACATTGCTATATTTATGAATACAAAACTCATCTAAGTGCACTCGTTTAGTACTTTTTATTAGAATCCCCATGTTGCATGCTCTCCTCGTAATTACCGTAGTTAAAAAGTTTCTTGTCGATTAGCCCAAAATTCTTCTTTTCTTGCTTACATCCTAGTGCACTTTTTAACTATATTGAAGATGAAAATACCCTAATTAATGACTCCTATAACATAAACATTTATATTTTTCTCTCTAAGCTTATTTTCCATTCACACTCTCTCTACAAATATGAATAGTTTGTTGGATTCTCTCTCTAAAGTTCCCTCTCTTTCTAAAAATATGAAAAAGTTGTTGATTTTTACCCCAAAAGCAATCTAAAAGCATGAATAGATGTGTTGATTTCTCATTCTAAAGGTATAAATGAGTTTGTTTGTTTCTCACTTTTTCTTTCCCATTTTTTCTCACTCTAAGTTTATCTCCAATTCATTATGCCTATGAAGAGAAACTAACCCATTTACAACTTTTAGGGACTAATATAAATATAAATGTGAAAAAGAGATACAGAAAAATAAGAAAAAGAGATAGAAATAAGGATATCTTCATCATAAATAAAACTGAAAGTCTGAAAGTTTCCTAGAGAAGTTAATGAGAGATAAAACAAAATGAAACTATTTACTTTTAGTATAAAGAAGTCACAATTATTTATAGAGAAAATTACAAAAAACACTCTAAAATGAGCTACCTATGCAACTTACACCTGCCCCAATCTTTTCTCGTACTTTTTTCCCCAAACAACTTTTCTTCGCAACTAACCCCCCCAACCTAAAAGTAGCATGAAATAAGACTAAACTGCCCTTGATTGTTTTCACACGGCCTTCTCTCTCCTGTTTTGACACGCGTTCCTGCAATACAAACACGCGCTCTGGCATTCTGAATGTGCGCTTCGGCAATACAGGTCTAAGCCACCGCGCTCCGGTATTATGAGAACGCATTCCGACAGTGCAAAGACACATTCCAGTAATGCAAAGATGTGTTTCAGCGGTACGCTACTTGGGACGCACAAATTGATTCGGTTTGTTCGGGAAGGGCCTTTCGATTAAAAAAAATAGCAACTTTTTTACCTCAGGAGGTTTTTGCGAGAAAATGTTGTTATGGGGAAAAAAGTGAGAGAAAAGATTAGGGTGGGGGTAACTTACATAGATAGTTGATTTTAGAGTGTTTTTTGTGATTTTTTCTTATTTACAACCATCTAAAGTGAAATCTCATAGCTTAGGTAGTCACAAAGTTCAAGAAATTTTTTTTTGAAATTTGTGCTTGGTAATGGAATAAATTCAACCATCCAATTTTATATTCAATAGTCAAGATTAATTGTGATCACTTGTATCAAAAGTAAATGGTCTCATTATATACTTTTTCAAAAAAAAAAAATATGGGCACATGAATGTGAGATGCTTTTCAACAAGTGGCATTACGAGGAGAACATTTAAATTATGCTTTTTGAGAACTTTACATTAGGAAAGCTTTAGCTGTCATTTAGCTGCATCACTTCCTATAGAAATATTTTTTTGAGAACTTTACATTAGGAAAGCCTTAGCTGTCATTTAGTTGCATCACTTCTTATAGAGTTGGCGGAGAGAGAGAGAGAGAGAGAGATGGAGGTCTATGTTCCTGTTTTGGCACAATTCCTTGTTCAGTTATGTATAGCAGTGATGTACCTAATGACGAAGGGTGCATTTGCAGGTGGTATGAGCCCCTTCGTTTTTATAACCTACAGAACCATCATAGCCACTGTATTCTTGGCCCCGTTTGCTTTCATTGCAGAAAGGTTCTTTCTCTCGCTCTTGCTCTTAGTGTAAGCTTGTGTGAATTATCTAGGTATCGTAAATCTTGGTTTTAGTCGACCCCAAATAGTTGGAAAAAAAGCTCTGATAATAATGATGAGATCTTGGTTTTATATTTGCAGGGAGACCCGGCCTCCACTAACTATTAAAATTGCATCTCAGATTTTTATACTTGGCTTCCTTGGGTAACCTGCAGTTTTATTTTTCCCATTTTCCTTCTTTCCTTTTGTGTGATTTAATGAAATTTAAACAAAACAGGGTCACTAAGTAAAAGAAGCGCGTTGAACTTGAGAAAGATTTTAACCCTATGAATTTGCAGGATCGGGATAACCCAGAATTGCTATTTCAGTTCACTTTATCTCACATCTTCCACTTTTGTTTCTACACTCTCGAATCTCATACCAGCCACTACTTTCCTCATGGCTCTCCTCCTAAGGTTAGTTTGCTGTTTGGTTAATTCAATTATTAATTTTCAAGTTACTTAATTTGCTTTTCTAGACCAGGGTGCTGAGGCCCGTCCTTTGGGCGTCGCCGAGTTTCCCTGAGTTTAGTGTAAAATTTGGGGACATATAAAAATTCAAAGAAATTCCAAAAAATTGTAAAACAATATGAGATGGCTTTATTATGTTTTGAATATAATATAAATGTTTTTTTTCTTTGATTAATGAGTTCTTTTTGCTGCAATATATAACTTTTTATTTTCTATTTTTGGAATTTTAAAAATATCCCAAATTATAAATCAAAATTTCTTTACTTTTTAAGATTATTTTACCTCTTTAAAGTTCATTTTGGTATTATTTTTCCTTTACAAGGATTTTTTATTTTCCAATTTTTCTGATTTTTCCCCTTTTTTTAAGGTTCTTTTTCTTTGCCTTGACTTCTGCTTGATAACTCGCTTTGGCCAAGGCCCAATGCCTTGGCTGAGGCTAGTCTCATAGCAGTGCTTTAGTTTCCTTTTGCTATTTCAAGTATCCTTAATTAGGATTACAAGAAGTATTTGCTAACAAATTCTTTTGTTACAATAGATTGGAGAAATTTGATATAATTAGTATGAGAGGAAAGGCAAAGTTTCTTGGAATAGTTATATGTGTTGGAGGTGCCATGATTATGACACTGGTGAGAGGTCCTACCATTAGATTGCTCAGAAACCTTGAATTGGATGAGTCTCCTGTCTATCTTTTGGGAGAAGTATCCTCAAATCCATCAACTAATTGGACTTTGGGATCAATTATTATTTTCTTGAGCATTTTGGCATGGTCGGCATGGCTAAATTACCAGGTTATTACCATTAAATCCTTTGTTATCCTAATCAAATAAAGTGACTTCCTCTTTCTTTTGTAATTTATTTTGGATTTCATATTAGAACTAATTCCTTAGCGACTTCTCCTAATTAAATTCATTGAAAAATTCGTATTTCCAATGATTTTCAGGCATGGGCATTCAAGAATTATCCGGCTCCTTTATCCTTGACTGCACTCATGTGCTTCATGGGAATATTTCCTTCAGCTTTGATTGCTGTTCTTGTTGAGGATTCCACAGCTTGGAGGCTGAAGTGGGATATACGTCTATTCATCTATATTTACAGTGTAATTAGTCAACCACTCCTTGTGCATTTCTTTATTGGAAAAGTATTTCATGCAGGCTGGACCGCATTTCTACAATAGGTTTAAAACATTCATCTTAGAGATGGATTCAAATAGGTAGTCAATCTGAAAACAAGTGTAACTAACGGTCCAAATGTTTTTTTAATATAATTATCATTTCTAGTTTTTTTTTAAAAAAACAAATTTCATATTCATGATCTCCATGTTAAAAATTATTATATGTTCCCCAAATATTGTGATCAAATAAAATATTTTTATCTTCAAGCCCGTATTTCTTCAATATGCGGGCTGGTTGCATAGAAACTGTGTCCTTTATTTGGAGTTTCTATTTCAATTCTAGTTTGGTGATATATAGTCACTATGGGATTTTATGGGGATATTAAAGTATTTTTCCTTTCAAAAGGGAATTTTTGGGATAATTACAAGGAATTTAATATATTAAAATAAGGATATTATTTATTGTGAAGTGATTTTATATCTAGATTAACATATGTAATTCTAATTATAAGATTTTAAAACATGACTATGTTAAAAAGTTTATCAATGACAAATTTGACAATAATTTTAATTTATATGAAAGTTAACATATCAAAACTCGTGATCAACATAATAGCTGTAAGCTACAAATCTTTGCAAATTGCTCGCCATATGCCTTATTGAAAAATCTAGTCCTACTTTGGTATTTTGGGATTAAGGAGCCTTTCATATTCAAATGGGTAATTTCAATTTATCTGAGATATTTTTCACTAAGTATCGAAGCAGAAGTATTGAAAGGTCTTGAGCCGTGGGCACGGCAAAAACCATTAGGAACAGCTTTTTTTATCCTTAATGCACCGAGTCAAAAGCCGAACTATTTTTTTTTCTATGATGAAAATATAAGTTCCAACTTGAAAGCCGAACTATTTTTTTTCTATGATGAAGATATAAGTTCCCACTTGGTTTGAGTCAACCATGCAATTGCACACACAACTCATGTTGCAATTAAAAAACTTTGAATTTGTAATCCTAAAATAAGGTTTCTCAATATGATTGCCATATACCAATCATCACACATCTAATATACAAATAAGGTTTCTTATTCGTGAGTCGGCCCGCTAATTCACCAACATCCGTCTTTAAAATGGATGTAAAAAACCCATCGGGCTAAAATGAATTTAGAATAGAATTTTTTTAAAAAAATGATATTACAAATATTCAAAGTTCTATTTTTTTCATATTCATGATGATCTTAACCTAGATCATAAATCCCTATAACTTGGGATTAACTATCGACTTTTAAGATTCATTTAAGTGGGGGTGCATATGTATAGTATGAGTCAGGCTTAATTGCTTCATCATGATTCACATGTTTAGTATTGGTCGGGCTTAATTGATTAATGTTTGTTGATTTGTAACGTCATGTCCTAGGCTCAATTCCTATCAAAGGTATGGGCCATATCCCCTATGATTATCCCAAAAACAAAAAAAAAAAATATTCTCTTCTATTCACGTAAAGTTAAGGTGCTTGTGCAACAACATTATTGAGAAGGTGACCACATAAAAAGCGAATACAGATCCAACAACCCGTTTGATTGATTTCAACGATTTGGCACACTGCAGGGTGTGTTTTGTACAGCATTCCAATTCTACGTTCAAAGTTGGTGCATCAAAATCAAAGGCCCTCTTTTCCCTGCCGCTTTCTATCCTATTTGCACCCTTATAGTATCCATTATGGAGCCTGCTGTTTTCCATGTTTCTGTTCACGTCGGAAGGTGGGTTTCTTTTGTTTGCATGAGGAGAGAGAGAGAGGTGTGTGTAAATTCAAGAGAGAGAAAAAAGAGTAGATATGCATCTGAAAGAGAGAGTGTTGATTATTTCGGAGTCTCCCACCACAATGAGGTTTTTACCATGGTTGGTAAGATGTTACTTCAGTGATCAACGGTCCCACCACGGGTGAGATCTCATTTTGATGGGTAGAATCTCACCATGGTGAGATTTAACCTCTCATGGACAAGTAGTCAAGAGTCACGCGATTGTAGCTTTATTGTGGTGGACATAAACAAATATTTCACTGGGTCTTATTGCAGTCAAAATAATACTTTATCATTACAAAAAGTAGGTAATACAAAGAAAACTGATCTTAAGCCTATAAAAATTTACTGAGGTCAATAGATTCTGATGTGTAGCAAATAGTCACAGTGATAAAAAATAGGAGGTCTGGAGCCACAAGAAAACCGTTTTTTTCGAAGCGTTCGTAAACTTTCAAAATACAAGTGAGTCCTGTCGAGTACAACTCTAGGATACAATAAAATCGAAAATACAATTCTTGAGTTTATCAATTGCATACTCAACAGACCCACACAAAACTTCAACAACATATTGTTGTCTTTCCAATCGGGATAATACCATTAGACTTCAATTAGAAATAAAATTTGGATATCAATAGCTCTCCCTCTTTCTCTATCTCTCACTATTTGCAAATATCATCAAATTGGTAATTTTGCCTGAAAGACATCGATTGGGTATGGTTAGCAAGAATAAATTCACTTGTATCAGATCAATGGATGAAAACAAAAATGATTATGTTATACTAGTATTGAACAATAGATGATTTATTTGTCAAAAAAAAAAAAAAATGGATAATTTTAAAAACAAAAAAAAATTATATAAGGTTGCAACCTTAAAATGTAGAATTAGAGTGCATATAAAAAATCCATTGGAAAAGGTTGTTTTATTGTTTAAAAACCCTCTAAATTGATCATCTCGATATTAACATGTATGAATATGACAAAAAATATAATAAATATATATCTATATCTATATAAATATATATATATTATTTTGAGTCCCAAAAATAGTGCATCTTGCAATATATTATCTAGACCGTTCATTTTCAAAATTTTCATATATTTATGGATCTACTTGATTTTTACCAGCTTTGGAATTTTAAATTTTATAATTAGAAATGAAAATTGATTTTCAGGTAATCCTAAGAACTTTTGACACAAAAACTACATGTTATGATAAAATTTGGAGGGGTGCCCTAATTGGATTGTTTAAGGTTGCAACCTCATGGAAAGAGCACCTGAATAAAAATTCCCACTCAAAAAAAGTGGTCAATTAACCCAAATATGGGTGCTGTCAAATGATTTATTCATCTCACTTGAAACTCTACAGAGAATTTTCTTCAACTCCAACGCCTTATACACAAACTCACACTCCTTCTCATTCTTCTCTTCTCCTCGTGCTTCTGTAAATTTCTAGTAAGAGAGGCATAAAGAGCGCATACGACCAGAGAGGGAGTCAAACATCCTCAACACTAAAACAAAATGAGCCCACCCCTTTTTATATCTTTAAAAAATATATTTTATTATGGAAAATTGTTTCATACGGGCTGGATCGTATTTCTACAGTATGCGGTCCAGAGGTATAAAGCATCCATCTTAAAAATGGATGCAAATAGGTGGTTCATCTAAAAATAAGTGTAATTAACGATTTAAAGGTTTTTTTAATACAATTATTATTTCTAGTTTTCAAAAAAAAAAAACAAATTCATACTCATGATCTCTATGTTAAAGATTATATATTTTTTAAAAATTAAGATCAAATTTATTTAAAAAATAAATTTATTCTTAAGCCTGCACTTCTACAATATGCGGGCTGGAGGCATAGAAACCATGTCTTTTATTATAACCCGTATGTCATATGCCATTCGCAAGAAAAGTGGTATTAAATGTTTATTAAAATGAGGCCACATAAAGCATGATGCGGCCAAACTATACGAAAGAAAAGGGACAGATGAAATAAGAGATTGTCTACAAAGAGACCATTTACTTTTAGTACAAGGAGGTTATAGCTTTTTTTACTCATTAGATACCAAATTGGATGGCTTGGGGTGCTTCATGAAGTTCGAAAACGTTTTTTTTAAAAAAATGTGTCTAATCAATGACACTCTTACAACTACTTATTTTAAAATCTATGAGATAAGAATAATTGTGACCTCCTTATACAAAAAGTAACTAGTCTCTCTAACTATAAAATTACCAATTTAGTCATGATGTGTACATATGCTATCAAACGAATGGGGAGCTTGGGGTCTACATTATATTAAACTCTTCTTTAGCAATATTATGAGAAGAATGGTAAAAAAAAGATGCATCCAAATTTTTGAACCCTCATAGTCTACTGCCAACAAAATTATGTATTAGTGTCATATTTTTAGTGTGCCAACAAAAATTATGAACACAAGTTTCCATATTGCATAAAATAAAAAATAGATGAGTGCAAGAAAGAGAGAGAGAGAGAGAGAGAGTTATTTGCTTCATGGTCCATTGACTCTTCTAAATTTAATTTCAGTGCGGTGGGGATGGTTACCGTAATTGCTGGACTTTACTGTGTTCTATGGGGCAAGGCCAAGCAAGAGAAGGTGAGAGGCCTCAGTCCAAAGGAAAACGAAGCGTCGCATGTCACAATGAACGAGCCTTTGTTGGCGTCATAGCAGAAAGAAAAACCTTATGTCCTAGAAAGAGAAGACAATTTATGTCCTAGAGAGAGGAGAGAATGGTACTTTTCGGTCTAAATAAAAAGGTAACAAATTCAGTCAAAAAGAGAGAAATAATAATACTTAAAACCCTAAAAAAAGAGATGGTACTTGATATCTTTTGTGAGTAATGATCCTATAAGATTTTTCCTCATTCATGTGTGGAAGATTTCAAAGGATCATCACTAAAGTTAGTACGGATCTCTAGAAAAGTTATCTATGGGTGTAGGACTTGACTTTTATATAAATCTATACCAAATTTAATGGTGATCCTTTAGGGTCCTACACACATGGGTGGGGGAGGTTCTTATAGGATAATTTCTCATCTTTTACATATGACATATCTATGATCCAGCTTATCGCTTCAATTACTCGAGGAAGACCTACAGAAAGTGGCATGCTATTGTATTGATCAGTGGTTAAAAAAACGGATCGGTGACACAAATCGGTTACACCCATACCCATGTATGATCGGAGAATCGGTGGATAGGATCGGAAAATCGGCGGAATCGATAATTTTTACTCAAAAGTTTTTCAAAAAATCACTCTAAATTTCCAAAAAGAGTGTTCTTTTAGTTTATAAAAGAAATTAGAAGTTGTGCATTATGTGCATTTGTTACTTTCTCAAAATAGGTGAATACTAAGAGTTTGAGATGTTGTTGTCCTGTCTAGATGTCTATTGTGCTAACTATGCAATCATATCACTAACATGACTTTTATTGTTATGACACTATAAAATTCTTCAAAAAATATTTATTCCATAAAAAAAGAAAATAATGATATTAAAAGATTATTACATTAAAATTTAGTTTTTTCTTTTTAGGTTTTAGAAAAATAATGTTATTGCATTATACTTTTTATTAGTTTTTAGAAAATACATAAGTACTAAGAACTTGTCTCATTTCGTAGTGTATGTTATCCATTATATTCATTTTATAGTCAAATAAAATATAAAGTGCAACTCATTGCAATAAAATGAATTTCTTTGACTCAAATTTACAATGCAAAAAAATAAAAACGGAAGTGTATAATAGCTTTGGATTTTTTGATTAATAGAGAGAAAACAAAGTTATGACCCTCAAAATAATTAAATCTAATAAGTAATAACTAGTATGGATAAAAATATAGAATTTAGAAACATAATTTGCAATCATAGTTTAATAAAATTAAAATAAATAAATAAATTCATATTTTTTTAAAAAAAATGTCTAACTCAAAAGGTGGAAAATGTGACGTTGGAATCGGTTCATGATGTCATGATAGATGACGTGTCCGATTGGTGACTATACCGATTCAGGTCATCATTAAACGATTTCTTGTAAAAAAACAGCCGGATCTTGTTTTATGGCTAAATCAAGAATAGTCCAACAGATACTTAATTTAGATCGCCCAATTCCATATTGGATCACCGATTTTTGAAACCTTTGGTATTGATTAACTAGATTCATGTTCCTGATTCGGTAGGGGTTTGTAATAATATAGGGTTCTACGTTATGCTTTCATTCAATGGGTATCTTTTTTACTTTGCTTGAAAAGGTGAAGTTTAATGCTTTCAAACTCTAGCCATTTATAATGCTTTCAATCTTAAATGGGCAACCTTTCTATATTTACCCGTCATATACATCTTATGCATGTCCCCCATCTCCCGGCGGTCCAACTTGAATGGACACTTGAGAAGTTACTTGTCTCAAAATGTCACAAGTGTGCAATTACCTTGTGATCTAGATCTAATGCTTCATTATTTTATTATTTTTCTACAAATCTTATGAATACGAAATTTGGTACATCTTATTATCTAAATGGGATGCATCGAAAGAAAGTATTATTTTTTTTTTTTGAAAACCTTAAATGACAAAATACCCATAAAACTTTCAGGGTTATTTTGGTCATTTTATTTTATCAAGAATGTCTTCTTTTTTTTCAGTGTAAATTTAAGAGAGGAATGCATGCCTCAAATTTGGTGTCAAAATGTTTTGTAGAAAACAAAATAACCAAAGTTAAAACAATGTATAGGTGTGACATTGTGATTGGGGCCATTTTAACCATCCATCAAATTGGACGAGAGACAATGGAAGTATATAAAATAAGATATATATGATGAGAAAGTATAGAAAGTTTTCCTTACCTTAAATAATAAAATTGAAAGTAAGAATTAAAGAACAAAAATCCCCCGGTCTACTGCATGAAAATTTAGCACCCATCTAACAAGATAATGGATTCATGACCTCCTTGAAACACATAATTGCTGGTTCACAGTGCCCCAAGGCTCATCGACTCGCCGTTTCTTACCGTGTCTTTGCCACGTTGACCGGTTACCTATAGAATCAGTCTTGACTCTTGACAGACCACTCACTTGGCCGAATATGGGGCCAGTGAGTCCGAGCAGAGTCCTTGAATAGAGCCACTGCGAGATCTTTTAGATACTATCATATTAAATTTATTAAAAGTACGTTCCACAAGTCTCTTTGGGATCCTAATTTGTATGGGCTACAATTTGTTCGAAAATAGTTTTCTAGAGAGTCCTATTGTCATGAGGATAA